TATTTTTATTGTCTTAGTTGCATGAGCTTTTTATATGAAGTGTTTTGTATAAGTAAGCATAAGGTTGAATTCTCCACAAATATAAAAGGTCATATTTGCGTATTTTAGGCCCAGAATGTTGCGAAATTTATCAAAATAATATAAATTGAATCCCAATTCACGAAATTAAAATGCATCCTTGCTGAGACATCCTGGTGCTAAGGAAAATCAGAACTGACCAATCAGCTTCAATTTTGGTTAATAGTCTTTTAACGGCCAAAGTAAGCCATTGAATCTACCAATATGGCACCCAATTAGGGTCAGGGTTGCACTTAGGGTTAGCTTAGGGTTGTACCTTAGGGTTAGGCTTTTAAAAATAAGACAAGCTTAGGTAGGTAAAAGAACACTAAAGATCACAGCTAGGCAAAAAACACTTGGAGTGAAACGCATTTGTTAATTTGTAAACTCACATAACATTATTTGCCAGTGTGACACTGTTAGCTTCTAATTATATATGCAAGTAATGCCATTGTTGATTAGAAAATCTGTGGTGAAAACTATATTGTAACAGCAAACAGAACTTTTAAACAACATGGAAAAAACCTGATATTCATCAAAATGACGCACTTAATTTGTAAACATATAATAGACATTTAATACATCTAACATAAATACGAGAAGACCAAACTTGTAGGCCATCGAAATATTTTAGATCTTCTTTGTTTCATTCTAGTACGTACTCTTTCCAACTGTTCATCTCGTATTTATATTAGTCGCACTTAACACAACAAAACCCTGCGAAGGCATAATAATGGTCTAGACATGCCGGACGCGATTCGACAACGCGACACGATTTTTTAGTTTTTGAAAGTTAATAAAACAGTCAATGAGAGCAAATTTTGAAAGATATGTAGACCAAATGACTCAAAATGTTATAGTGTTGGAAAAAATCTGGAAAATTTAAACTAGGATCGAAGTTAGCATCGGTCATTGAAAATCGAAAAATCGTGTCGCATTGTCAAATAGCCTCCGGTGTGTCTGGATCTTAATTTAATTATGTCTCAATTCCATGGGTGCCCATCCCCTCCCCGGGCATTTGTTGGGCATTTGTCATTTTGGCAAAAAAGCTTGGTAAATGCCCCACTATGGGGTGCAAATAATGCAACAAAATCCCCACCCTTGGGGACTTACATTGATGCAAATGCCCCACCCTTGGTGGGCAAAATATAAGTTTTCTGAGGATTTCTGATCCAAAAAATCGAATGCAAGCTCTATCACATATCAATAATATATCTGTATTTAAAATCGATTCTGTAGCCATTTCGTTTCAAAACGTTTTTAATTAAAATATTGAAGTCTCAAGACTTTATATAGCAATATCAAACTGCAGAAGTAAGTCAATGTATCAACAGGATGGACAAGAAAATAGTCTTTGTGTGTATGTCTGCCATGATTAAATGCGTATGGCTAAATGGCTAAACAAGCTATAAATATTTGACTTTTTAGCCTCGAGCAAATTCCCCACCCCAGGGCTAACCTGTAGAAAGCAAATGCCAGACCCTGGGAACAAGTACAGTTGAGAATGCCCGACAAACGCCCGGGGGTTTTTGGGCAGCCATGGAATTGATTGAGACATCAATGATACTTTCAAGTTTAAGCATCGCGTTCATAGGTCAAATGACAAACGCCAGGCTAAGAAAAAATTACATTATAAGGCAAGATTCTCTTAACATTCATATTCAGTGACAACTGTAAAACAGTCAATACAAATTGCATTTTTCTTATAACATATAACAATATTGTTACGATATAACAATATAACATGATATAACATGTAACAATATTGTTATGTGGTGCTGGAAAATGTCCGGCAGTGCCAGCAGCACACCACTGCCAGAAAATTTTAGACAACATGTCTTTGCAGGAAATTTTCTTACATTATGCAGGAATTTTGTCATCTTATATACTGGAATGCCATATAATTTACTTGTTGTTTACAAAGCATTGTTTATCACAATGTCCGGCGTCATACATTATCTGAAATCCACATGAGCAGGAAATTTTGTATTTGACTTACCGTACACAGGAAATTTTTATTTTTGGATTTTGCTGCCAGGAAGAAAAATATATTTTCTAGGCCTGTTGTTATGATCTTGTGTCATCAACCTTTCAGGACTGTATCAGGCTTGTTAAACAACCTTGTGACACAAGTGATAATGCCATCAAGCTTGTTGCAAGTTGTTAACAGCTTGTTCCAAACTTGTTACAACAACTTGGAACATGCAGTGCAAAGACAACTTGTTGACAGCTTGTGAACAGATTTGTAACAACTTTTTTGCAGACCTGTAACAACTTGTGCGTTTTTACATATGTAAGCAATTTGGGGGCGGGGTGGAAGAAGGGCAAAAGCGAAAAAATAGAGGGCCTAGCTAGCAGATTTCCCAATTTAAATGCCAAAAACTGTTCCGAATTTGCCCCGCTTGGATATGCCCAATTCTTGCATTACCAAACTGAATTATTTGCAGCTTAACAGCAAATTTAAACCGATACAGGTAACAGGAACTCATTGCTGCCGCAGCGAGCGAGCATTAAGCGAGCGAGCAAGGCAGCAGACTAAAATCATACAGCTACTCAAAATCTCAATCTTGCTAGAGCCGCAAAGCATGTTGGTTGAAAGTCATTTTACCAACATGCAACGCGCGGCTATCAGGGTGGCTATTTGAATTACAGTGCTATTAAATATTTACAATTCTTCACTTTCACGCTGTTTTTAAAAGCAATATTGCACAGTTATAAATCTACAATAGAATTATAAATGTAGTTAATTAATTTGTGAGCGAGTGGTAGTTCAATACAGAAAGTTTCAGACCCATTTTGCATGACATAACTCATATTAAAATCACTAACAGGCGACGAACAGTCGGGGAATTTTTTTCTACAGCTAATCACATGTCAGAAAACAGCCGTAAACAAGGGTCTCTGTAAAGAACAGAAAACGAAACGACCGAATCCGGAAACGACCGAAACTGGAAATTCCCGCCTAATTTCCTGCTTAAAATTGCCTAAAATTTAGCGGTAGAAAGGTGAACCTGCACTGAACCATGCGTTTTATTCATTCATCCCTTATAATAAACAAAGACTGTCAACTATCAAATTGACGCAGGGCGTGAAATGTACAACGACGAAATGTATAAAACAAGTGTGTAAACTCCAAAGATTGATAACATTTTTATATTTATCAATGTTTCGACTATATTTCAATCATCAGGATAAAAAAAGGTATATAACAATAATACGAAGCATTAGCAAGCCGCACAATATATTAAATATAGGCTGCATGAACCGGCATTGTTCAGCAAGTTAATAATATGCAGTAAGATTATTAAATAATTGACAAAATTGTCAGCAGTTAAATAGTATACAACCTTAATACTTTCGGACGATATTTATCTAAATGTTATGCCAGCAATCGAGCATCAACAATATAATTATTTGTTATGCAGGAAATTTAGGCGGGAATTTCCGGTTTCGGTCGTTTCCATTTTCGGTCGTTTCGGTTTCCGTTCTTTACAGAGACCCTGTAAACAACCTAATTAGAACAAAATCTTTGTATTGCTTGTAAACTTGAGTGAAGTATTGAAAATTTAACTCAGTTTTAATACAAGCCAGTAAAATGGAAAAATCGCTGCAAATTCCAGTGTTGTCGCACCAAAGTTGCAGTCAAAATCGCAGGGTGTGTATATTGGAGATTTCACAAAATCGTTGTAGAAATCGCAATGAAAATTGCAAGTGTAAACAGGCCTTTGTGTTTATGGAAGTAATATTCACTAAAGCATAAGCAAGAATATATCAAGTGGAATCTGTTGAATTAATCGCAGTTTTTATAGTGCATGTACAAATACAAATGACAAATACTATCGGATGTCATATTAAGTCTAATACTGCTATATTTCACTATATTTTAGATAGTATTTTAATACGTTTCGCAGTTTTATAGGCTACGCTTCAAATTTTGTATTTGTATATTTTGTATATGCGATAACACATCTTTGATTTGCAATCACTACAAACAGTATTTTAAAACGTTCATGGCGTGTGCTTCTTAAAGGCAGCATTTACTACATTTTAGGTAACCTAGTTTATAATATAGATTTACTATTTTTATTTGTATACACGTCTGAAGAATCGGGTTTTTTATGTACTTGGTGATTTCATTGTAGAATGGCATAGTTATATTTATTTGCTGCTCTTTGACTAAAATGTTTAGCTGTATTATTTCTAAACATGCCGTTTTTGGGAATTGGGTTTGCAACTAGGTTTCAATATCCTACCACGCCATCAGCCCATTGAAAGCATTAGGTCACGTCAGCTAGTTTCCCATCCATTTATTATATTATCCATGGTAGTAAGTTATAGTTGGAAAATCCCCCTTAAAGTTGGCTGTAATCAATTGGCCCATGTGTTTTTTAAGACTTAGTCATTTTAATCCCCCTTAAAGTTGGCTGTAATCAATTGGCCCATGTGTTTTTTAAGACTTAGTCATTTTATTCTACATTTGTGCATGCACATTAACTTCCATTGTCAAAATCAAAGTAATAAACAAGTTAATTGGACTGTGTGAGCCAGTCATTTCATCTCGGCAAATATTTCAGCCTACTTTAAGGACAGCTTTCCAATTCTAGTTTATCCAATTTTTTCGCTGTGCTTCCGTCCAATTGCATTCAGGTGAACGCAGCAGCCATTTAACGATCTCCACCATGTATTTTGGGTAGTTTTCTGGTGACTTGTTAATGCCCTTGAGCCAATACTCGCGCAAGGACCTGTATGAGGCAAAGATTTCGTGGACATGTCTACTCGCTGAGATCAGCTGCCCCTTTTCAACCTTGTAGGCTGCGTTGCACTCCTAGGATATTGTCCTCCAGTTCCTTCCACTGTTGTTCGAAGAATTGTGGGTGTATATTCTTTTTGGAGAGGTCAACAAGTTTCTGCAGTGCCTCCTTCACTCCCGGCATGTTGACGAATCACCCGAGTTTATTACCGTTTTCCACTTCCACGTCAAACCAACATCCATTGGCGGCCATAAGGGCGTAATCCCGGGAACTTGCTTGTAGTTCTTTGGCTGTTGCTTGTCTGCTTGCGTACAGGCATAGGTGGGTGCCTTGGGGGATGGTATCGTGTGGTTGAAGGAAGAGACCAAAACCTGCTCCAGCTATTGTGCTTGGGGCCTTGTAGCACAGGCTCCTATAATGCAGATTACTCGACTATGCGGAAGTGATACGTGGCAGTTTAATCAGTTTCACGGCATTCTTTGTCGACACTTGCACCCTCTTTCCACATGCTGTCTGGTTGTTCTGGTGCGTTTGTGATGTGTGTATGCTTTGTACTCAGCAAAGCAGGAGCTCAGATCAGTCCAATGATTTTGAAGATCCCATGGACGGAAAGGATGCATAAAAACCACCTCTGGCAGATTGAACATCCCCACCTTACATTGCCGCCTGCATGGTGGCGTCTATCTTTGTGTTCATGCCAGTTACATAAAATGACATGGTGTATCCAGCTGATGCCAGTTTTATTGCAAGATTTTCCAAGTCACCCATCTCGTTTTTAAGCCATATGTGTGCGAGGGCACGTTGGTAGCGATTGTAACGCACACAGGGCTTTCCGTCGATGTTCTCCTCATCGCATTCCAGATATATCTACATAGAAGGAAGGAAAGAGACATATAGATGATTTATAATTACAAAAATTGATTTTTGGTTTGGGACAACTGTCCTTAGTATCCAATTGACACAATGCAATGCATTACACCATACTATTGATTATTTATTATTATTGATGGGTCTTGCTTAGATCATAATATATATGACGTTTAGTGACATTAATGGTCATAATATGAAAATTTCCTTGAATTGTGTCAGTACAACACAATTTCCTGACCACACTACACTACAATACAATGCAAAAACGAATGGAATTGGAAGCCTCTAAAACAAACATTTAAGAGAAACAGGATTATTTCCATGCCCAAAATAAGTACTATTTATAAAATGAGCGAGTGGCAGTGTATAAATACAATGCTAAATAAATATAAATCATCTATTGGCGAAATGATTTTAAAAACAAGCATTGCCTTAGCCGAGAAAATCAAAGTTAAGATTTATGTAAACCAACATGAATCTGTATCGTAGATGCAAACTCTTTCACACCCGTGATTTCTTTTTTGTGTTTTCTTCATGAATTAATGAGTTTTTTAGGAAATGATAAAATGCCATTATCTTTAATAAACATGTTTCAAACTAAAACTAATTATACGTGTGATTTGCGAAGTAATAAGAATAATTATTCTCTTGATAAAGCTGATTCAAGCTTTATGAAAATAATTGGAGACAGTTGTAGCTTAGACCTAATTGGCATTTATACCAGGTTTACAAAGTTTTTCTGATTTTACTATCAACTTTTACTTTATCTTTACTTACAATCCGTCACCGTTACTTGACGACTGCTTTAAGCTGATTGGTTAATTTTACATTCCATTGTTTTTATTCCAACCAATCAGATTAGTAGCATTTTAGATTGCAAGTAAAGATAAAGTAAACCTTGAATTATGTATATATTTATATACCTCTTTCGCCTCGAACACCATCTGACGGACTGCCCGCAACGACTCCAGGCCTACATGCCTCGTTATGACGTGATACATTACTGCCGTTGGTGTGGCTGTTGATATGGTGGGTGGAGACATGGTCGTGGTCGATTGTGCAAAATAATACGCATTTTCTAGCGAGGATGAACTCAAGCCGGCGAACCTGGATTTCACGTTCAGAGCCCTCATCTTGTTGTCCATGCAATGTAGTGGGCGATCCTCAAAACTCGGAGGCTGTGCATCGGAGACTTTGCCGTTCTCTTCCAGTTGATCGTAAAATCTGTGGAAAATACAATATATGATGGTGAGCACGTCATTACATTGTCATTTGTAAATACTCCACATTCGTGAACATTCTCAGCATTGCGCATTGCTGTCTGGAAAATCCCGTCGATATAGCTGTTTCAAACCGTGACTCCAAAAAGTTGTTCCTAATCCATTTTTGTATTGTTCCCTATCAAGTTTGTTTTGTTCCTAGTTCATGTTTTATTCCTTCCTGATCAATAATTTTGTTTTGTCCCTAATTAATATTTGCTTTGTTGCCCCTAATTAATTTTGTTATATACTCACTCATTGTCGAACTGCACGCATGCAGTGCATTTGTCGCATCCACATTTTGATAGCGACTCTCCATACAGGATGTACTGCATGTCATTTCGATCACGTTGCAGCTGGTCCAACATTGCGCCTATCCTTTTCTCTTCATTGCCCTCATCGTCCATGTGCTTGTCGTGGACAGCACGCACCATGCACCCAAGTGCATGCTGTGAGCAATTCGCGACACAGTTCTGCAGGGCAACCAGCTGAAGCATATGCGTGATAACCACTTCCAGCTCATCGTCCTCCGTGATCCTAACAGATTTGGCGTGTATCTCTCGCATCCCGCAGACAAGGTGCTGGTCCAGGGTTTCCCATTCATTAATTTCCTGGAAGAATAGGAACAACTCCTTGTGGGTTGGGGGATGGTCTTTCGCCCTTCATCCAAACGCTTGATCGCCATTTCCCGCTTCGTACCACTCGCCGAAATCGTAAACACTGAAGTGAACGAACTATGTAAGTTTTATACAATTGAATTAAACCCAAAACGTAATGGCCCCCTGTTCGCGAAACAAAATCTAGAGAAATTAGTCGAAAGAATATATTGTTTTTTATATTTCTGTATCCATCATAGGAATGCATACAGAAAAATGATAAATGATCAGAAAAATGTTAAATGGCCTGTCCGCCATCATTAATTATGGGTAAATGTTATAGCTATAGTGATGTCAAAAGCATGTTTGCGGATATAATAGTTTTTCACATCATTTCAAAAGTACCTTCAAATGTGACAAACTAATTTTTTATTGCCAATATTTCTTTTGTATTAAAAGTTTGAGCTGTATTAAAGAGTGAGGTTTTTGGGTTTTTTTTTTATCTAATACCTATTTTAACTAATGTTTACCCCAAAAGCAGATGTTGCTTATCTAGGGGGTTTACATTAAATTATTTTCATCACACACACACACAAACAGGCATATTAAACAATAGTCAGAGAGAAGAGATCAGTATTAACTAACCCAAAAAGCAAACAATTATCTTTATAACTTAATTTTCCACAGTCATGCAAGAAACTACTAACTTTTTCGCTATTACTACTCTCCAACCATGCTTGGCCACATAATTGTGCAGCATAGGTAAGCAGGACACTTCGTTGAGCAGCAAAACGGGGACATTTTAAAAGTTAATGTTTAACAGTTTCTCTTTCAAGACTACATTCACACAATGGTGAATCACAACAGTTAATTCCATACAAATAATCGTTAAGTGCACAAAATCCTAATCTAAGTCTAGTATGTAAAACAGAAGCCCTTCTCGTCAATGAGAAGTTAAATAGCTTATTATATCTTGGCATACAAAATACTTTCCGAACATTCGCTTTAAAAACTGGTAATGAAATTGAATTTCTAATATCTAAATCAAGATCATTCCATAAATCAACAGTAGAAGGAAAGAACAAGCTTCTAAACTTTTCACTTTTACACATAAAAGAACTAATATTTTGTCCTGATCTTAGAGGAATATATGCCCGCTCTTTTACCAAATCTGGTAAGAGTTCAACTAGGTATGTAGGAGCAAGCCTATTGACAATCTTGTAAAAATATGTTTATTTATTTTCCTTCTTACGCTCAATTCCTCCCAGGCTAGCTCTTCACAAAGTCCAGAAGCACTAGTGCCCTTTATTGCCCCAGCAACAACCTTGGCTGCTTCATATTGAACACGTTCAAGCAAATGACTATTCCCAAGAGTACAATTGTGCCAAATTACATTTGCATACTCCATAGTTGGTCTTATCAAACGTTTGTATAAACAAGCAAGCGTTGATCTTTCAATCCTAAATTTTAACGATTTTAACATATTTAATAATTTGCAAGCCTTTTCATAGATTGTTAAAATATGAGTATTCCAAGACAAGTTACTTTGGGGAACCTACCTACTACCGATCCTTGGGGAACCCCTGAACTGATATTTTTCCACTCAGAAGACTGCCCATCAATAACAACTCGTTGCTTTCTATTTTGTAAATAACTTTCAATCCATTGTAAAAGAGCATTTCTAATCCCAAGTGCTTCCAATTTCTTTAACAATCCAGCATGCCAAACTCTATCAAATGCCTTACTAATATCCAAATAAACAGTTCCTACTTCTTTCCCACTTTCAAAAGCATGATAGATTTGGCGAACAAAATACAATAATTGATTTACTGTTGAATCACCTGGTCTAAATTCAGATTGAAACTTGTACAAAAAACCTATTTCCAATAGAAAATTATAAAGTCTAATAAAGAGTATTTTTTCACATATTTTTGATAAACAAGGTAACAGTGAGACAGGACAATAATTTGTTTTTATTTGACGATTATCTTTTTTGAATAAAGGTATGACATTAGCCAATTTCCATTTAGAAGGATATTTACCGAGTGCAAGGGATACATTTATAAATTTAGTAAAAAACTGATACAACCCAGCCGAACATATTTTAATAATCTTATTCCCAATTCCATCGCATCCACACGCCTTTGAAGTATCAACATTTTGCAATAAAGTAAAGACTTCCACTTCTGTTACCTGGACATTAGAAAGAAATGCGGCATTTTGATAGAGAGGTAAATCAGGTGGAATAATAGAATCAGACCCAGGTAATTGAGATTGTGCAACAAAATAATCATTAAAAATACAAGTTTTTTCTTTTGAATCAGTTATTAAAATGTCATTTTCAACTATAGTGGGAATTCTGGAAACATTCATGGATCCACAAAGGCGTTTTGAAAGTGACCACCATGACTTAATATTTATTGCCGGATCACTTAATTTTTTATTTACGTTCTGGTAGTAACGTTTTTTTGCTTGTCTAATCACATTTGTTGTAAAATTACGCTGTCTACGATAGGATTCCCAAGAATGGGCTGTATGCATAGCATTATGAATACGAGGTAGACGATCACGTTTACGAATTGCCTGACGTACTTCACCACTTATCCATGGTTTATCTGTTGGTCTAATAGTAACCAATTTCAAAGGAATGTATTTCTTTACAATATCTCGGAATTGAGAAATTCATACACGATAAACATGATCTATATCATATACATTATTTAAGAGTGGATTCCAGTCAGTTTCCAAAATTTCCTTATTTAAAGCTGAAACATCAACATTACTGAAGTTCCAGACCTCTCTTTTATAAGAATGACATTTATATTGAATATTCATTTGAGCAAAAATAACAGAATGGTCACAATTGGATGGAGGACTCAAAGTTCCCATATCAATAAAAAAACTAGGACAACTAGTAATCACTACATCCAAAATTGTAGCTTGCTGCTGAGTTATTCTAGTTGGTTCTGCAATCATTTGAACTAAATTATTTCCTTCTAAAAAACTCTGTCACCAATTTCCAGCATCAGTACTATCTTGTGGATTCTTTATATTATAATGCGAATTCAAATCCCCTAGAATTACCAAATTATAATTTCTGACATATTCTATCCAGCATTATTTGAAAATTATTATAAAAAATAGACAATGAAAAACGATCATTATCCGGAGGTCGATAGATAGCCAACACCGCATAGAAAATTGTGCTGCTTTAAGCGAAACTCAATCCAAAGTAACTGAAAACCGGGAATTTCCAAATCATTTCTTTGTTTCACAACAAGTGAATCTGATGTAAAAAATGCAACACCCCCTCCCTGTCTACCTTCTCTATCAAGACGAATAATTTGATTGTACCCGGGAATTGAAAAACATTCACTAGAAATGAGTTTATTCAACCACGTTTCAGATACTGCAAAAATATCAAAATTATTTTCTTTAATCAAGAAAGAAATTTCTTCAAACTTTTCTCTAATATTCAAACTTCGAACATTTAAGTGCCCAAGACTAAACGATGATGCCGGACCCGGGTTTAACTGAACATCATTAGATAAAATTATTCTAATATAAAAAATAAACAGCATAATATATAAGAACCTTTCAACTAAAAGAATTCGGTTAACAACAAAATTATAATTGCAAATGGAATTTTAACAATATTAAACATCCCGATTGCCGCTCTATACACCGTTAAAATAATCCCCATCGAACAAATCAATAAATATAACATAACCAAAACTTACCTCCTGCTGCACACTAATAGTACGTATAACCATACAAACAAACACATACAGGTCTAATATAAAGAAAATCGACATTAAATTAAGCAGTTAATTGCCAATACAGTTGGCTTACTAAATATTTAAAGCAGTTCATATGTTGTAAAGTCCGCAGTTGCTTTGATTATAAAAATTTTGGCGTCAGAAATTCTTTTAACAAAAATTTTGCTGTCAGTTGTCCAGGCAGATGCTGCATTTAAACATTCTTTCCTTGCAGAATAGAGAAGTTTCTGATTGATTTTTGTAAGGTCTTTGTTCACATAAAAGTTGGATTTCGAATGGAATAAATCTTTTCCTTTCCTAAGAATTGCAATTTTGTCCTTGTGTGCCTTGAACCGTACAATTATTGCGCCCGGCTTGTTATCATTAGGTTTACTGACTCGATGAGCCCTATCGATATTCTCGTCAGTAATGGCAACACCGAGTTTCTCATTGAAAAAATTTAAAATTTTCTTGACACAATTCTCGCCTTTCTCCTCGACAAAGCCCAAAATACGAACATTATGGCGGCGAGAATATTGCTCGTTGTTATTCGCCATGCTTAATGCACGAGTTAGATGAGACTCTAAAGTTGCCACCTTTTCCTCTAAAACAGAAATCTTTTCATTAATCGGTTCAACCATGCTGACCAATGCTGCACTTACTGCCACTTGTATAGTACTTTGTAAAAGCTGTTGGAATTCTTCGGACTTAAGGATAGCTTCGATCTCGACTTTCATGGCTGTCGCGGCTCCCTTGCTTCTTGTCAAAGACATTAAGGATAGCTTCGATCTCGACTTTCATGGCTGTCGCGGCTCCCTTGCTTCTTGTCAAAGACATTTAACTCAATTTTTTGCTTGAATATGTGCCAGAGTATTTTATTCTAAGCCAACCAATACCAGCAACAATTAAGAACTAAAACATATTCCAATATTTGGCAAAATGCCTCAAGTTTAAGAAGGAAAAAAAGTTAAGATTTAGCAAGAGCTCAAATACATGTGTGTGCTCGTTCAATGTTGATCCATAAAGCTGGGGTGGACTGGAGTGATTACTTCTTCTGATCTCCAGTCCATAACTGGAGTGATCAATACTGCTTCTAATCTGTAGTTTTGAAAGCTCGAAAGCTCATAATATAACTTCCTGACACTTTCAATGCTTATTCAATCCTATCATAGTATAATACACCAGTTCCGTATTATATCATAGAATTGAATAAACACTGATAGGTATCCTATCAAGTTATTCACACAAAGACAATTAATTGACAATTTGATTCTTAATACAAACCATTATCAAAACTACTTGAAAACTTTACATGAACTTTAAAGACGTTCTTATATACACTTGAATATAATGTGAACTGTTCAACAGATGTTCATCAATGAGTTCTTTAACATTAGTTCAATTAATTGTTGTGTACACCAAACCAGTCCTGCTTTTGCTGTGGTGACCAATTGGTCTCGTCCGATTCCATTAACCAGCTGACAATGCTGGCCATTTGGGAAGCTGTCTGGCTTGCATTGAATAAGTGGAAGCCAGTATTCACGCAGGTCGCCGTACTGGGCAAATAACTTGTGGGCCTCTTCCGTTCTTGAGACGTCTTTTGCTGTGACAAGGACAAGCTGCTTGTATGCCAAATTTGCTCTTTGGGCATCAGCGTCATTGATTTATTTCCAGTCTTCCTCTCGAATTTCGGGAAATAAGCTCTTTCGACTGCACTCGCGAACTTCCGCTAAGGACTCACACACATGCAATTGGTTGGCAAACCTACCGAGGCACACTCCATCCTGCTTTTCGGCATCGAACCAAAGTTTTGCCTTTCCTGTCAGGATAGCATAATCCCTTGAGGTACCGGTGGCATTCATAGCCTCTTGCGTTGTGGTGGTTGGTATGGGTGGATGCAGTTTTAGGAATAATGGAATTTAGGAATAATTTTATGAATCAGCTGGCCTCGAGCCACTCCTTCGATTCAGCCAGTTCGACATAGTATCTGTTGCTGCTGTTCCCTGTCAAGTCTGTGCCTGCTTTGCCGAACCAGAGGGCCTCGGATTGGTCGATGTTGACATTTCGAATCTGAACGGGTTCGCTGGCAGTGTTCCCGTCCTTGATGTCCCAAGGCAAAAATCCTGGCTGCCTGATCTCGTCTGGGAGTCGAAACATTCCTTTACCATGCTTTCTGGCAATGTCCATGCTGTGCTTCACATGATCGTGGATTCTGTACTTGAAGCAAGGGAACAAGTAGCCTTCTTCCGCCAAAAATACCGATAAATACACCAATTTGTCCTTGTCTGTGGCCACGTCTCTCTTAATCACCTGTTCGCACAAGACACGCCCATAACGAGGGGAGTCGATTTCGACCATGGGCATGAAACCATCTTTCTCACATGTTCTGACGAGCAGGTTGATTTCTGTCGCTTTTAAGAGGATTTTCCGTGCCATTCTCATTGCCTCCATCCCAACTTTGACTGTTCCCATGCTTGTCAACAGCTCACCGCGAGACTGAGATGTTGACTCATTCGAGGTTTTGTCGCCTGTGGCGCTCATAGATGGCTCTTTCCCCTGGCGTGACTCGCCGCTCATGACCAAATTCAGACAGATTGAAACCACGCTTTTCCCGTACCCTTTGGTGTCTCTTTGACATGTGGACTTTTCAAGGCTTTAGAGGACTGCCCTTACCGCTTCCTACTCTTGGCATGGGACGTTTGCACTTCAAGGGAATTACTGGTGACTTCTCGACTTCTCTTCAACTGCGTGTTTCAATTCCTCATCCATATTGTCACTTTGAAACACTCCTGGAGATGAAAAATGGAAAAAAAATTAAAAAGTGAAAAATGCTCCACAATGTTGTAAATGATTGGCTCAATGGACTATTAAATAATTTTTATTTTATTGTATTATATTGTACCTTTTCTACGGTCGAAAAGAAAGATATAGAATGTTTTTATTCCATCAGCAAGTCTTTATCTTGTCGTCTTCGCCATCTTCCTGTAATCTTTCTATGTTCTCTTCAATTGATCTTACGACGCTACGCACATACTCTAATATTTCAGCTTTATCCATAACTGTGATTGGACATATAGCCCGATGTGAATAAATTTTGCAACATGTCTCGCTTTATATACGATCTCATGAGGTCAGCGGGAATTCCCTTCTAGCGCCATCGCTGTGCAGAGGCGCTAGAAACATGCCATATATGGAAATGCCGTATCGAAACGAAATGGTCGCTGCCCTATTTGGTCTTGTAAACAAATTGCTTTGAATTTTTGGGTTGTTTGATTCAGAAATAGTGTTCTTGAGTATTTGTATATTCATACATTATTTATACCAAATGATGTCATGTTTCATTCCCCATATTAGTATAAATTGAAACTTTTATATGATGCAATGATATGAATATAAATTTCAAAATTCCCCTTTATTTTGCAAGATTATTAAAGTCCATAATTTGTACATTTTGTAATGAACAATCTCGCCTATTTTACACTTCACATTTACATATTTGCTCCTGTTTGCAATATCACAACTGTTCTAGGACCCGAAATGTAAATAAATTTAATAAATCACATTATCGAAACATATCTTTAAAGTCCAGCATTGAATTAACCAATTGTTTTACACATGCTCTGAACTATAAATTAATAAACCTGAAATTTGCTCAGCCAAATATTCTACAACCTGCCCAGACTGCAAAGAAATAGTATATTTTTATTTCCAATATTTTACAATTTGCATTACAGTTATTAATGTTTTAATATTCGACGTGAAGCTGAAATAAACATTTAGACTATTATTTAATATGTCTTCCCTGCATCAAATTAACTTGCCTGCTGCTATGCAATTGAATAATATTGTATGATTCGAATTGCCCGGCTCGGCCGTGATTCTTTCAATTGGAGAGCTGGCCTCCTGGTGTAAAGGTCATGTAGGTATAGATTTGAAATGAACTTGAAAATATGATTCAAACTTGTCAAAAAAATCCTCTCCAAATTCCTGCGACATATATATGCAGAAATGCAGTAGTGTGTGATCATATATTAGCTAGTATATAAGGCAACTATAATCCCCCAGCCTCAAACTTGTCAAAAAATCCTCTCCAAATTCCTGCTACATATATATGTAGAAATGCAGTAGTGTGTGACCATATATTAGCTAGTATATAATGCAACTATAATCCCCCAGCCCCCCTCCTCCAAAACCCCTCCCCCCTCCTCCAAAACCAGACAGAATCACAGGTGCTATGCATGCTAACCGTGTGATGTGTTTGAAGCACAGTGCGCTAAGGGAATATATATTTCCATAATAGGAATGTTGAAATTTTTAATCTAATTAATCTCTAATTCATTCATCTCTAATTAATTGAGATCTAATTGATCCATTTCAGACTGATTATGAAGCTTAGGGTTAGGGTTAATTTTATCTATTAATATGATATTTTCATGAACTGTTATCTAATTTAAAAATACTCTTACACAACTGTAAAATTGATTAATTGAATTGCAATCTTCCACAAAAACATGTCGACATATTCTAAATAATTTACAGGGGGAGCCTAAAATTATTTTCTGTTTTGTTACTCTGGTGTACGAGACACAATATGTAAAGTAACCTGGGATTTTTTGAGGTAGAAATTGTAAAGAATAGAAGGATAAAACTCCCGCAAAAAGTCTAAAAATAATCGTCTTTAAGGCATGTGAGGAGTATAGTTATGTATTTTAAGTTTAAGCAGAAACCATTATTGTTTCTAGTTCATGATTTTGTAGCAAAAATCCAATTTGTACTTTAGTTGCTTGTGAAATCAAAGTCTGTTTTGACTGAAATACTCTTAAAGCTACCCAGTTGCTTTTGACAATGAAAATTATGCTTTATTTAATCCTTGAAATCAATAAAATTTTGCAAACGTATTCTTTCTTTGACCGATTTGAATTGATTGGTACAGAAAGTGTGTACTTATGGGAGTCTGGTACTAGTGACATAATCTCGCCTCCATATCCAACAAACTAAAATAACATTCCCGCAAATTATAGTGAATCTCTTCTTTCAATACCGTCTGCTAATATAGGGATTTGTTTTAATTCATGTTTAGGGACATGGAGAATTTAAATTTCATCTTAAGAGGGGAGGCGAAACTGTATTGTTTCATCGAAGTATGTGACAAGCTCTTCCACTCATTCTCGAGAAGTGCAGTTAAACATCATGACAATATATGCCGCCACGTTGGAAGAAAGACGTGCTTTCAAAGCATTAAATCCGAAGCTGAAATCGACAGTGTTTGGACTCTTGCATGAAAACGACCTCAATCTTTTAGTTAACGAAAGCAAACACAAACACAGCAAAAAGAAACTCGATGTAACCCAACCTTGTGACATTGGATGTTTATCAACAACCTCCGGCATGGCAAACTACAGCCTTGTTGAATTCACAGACGAAAGTTCGGATGATGAACAACTTACGCCCGGTATCGCTGTTGCTATGTACACTTCGTCCACTCTTAAAAATTATTCGCACCTAGTGCACGTAATCAAGAGATTGCTTTGCCCATTCGTATGCCTACTGCGACTGCCATATCATCAAACGTGACATAGCACTAATAACCACCAATAAAGAACCACTCATATGGTCAGCGGCTGCAACATCTTCAAGAAACGCCATTGAAATTGCTGAAGCTGGCTCATCAATCAATGTCAACGAATCTGCGCCTGCAATACCACCAATCAAGAACCAGTTGTATGGTCAGTGGCTGCAACATCTTCAAAAGATGCCATTGCTACCATCCTAACAGCGCCTAAAAAGAGTTGGACACCATACAGGCTAAGTAATGAAGACGCTGGTGTTTTCGTGAACGAACAGGTAAAATTCCTTCTAAACTTCTATACAAGTAGATCTGAATGCTAAATGCAATGGCCCTTCGTTGAGTCAACAAACTAAAGACAAATTAGTGGAAAGACTTTATTGTTTTTTGTCTTTTGCAAGTGAATTAGTAACAAATTAGATCTAACTTTAGCTCTTTGTAACGACAAAACGTTAATTTCGGAATATGTAAATTATTTGTCTAAAGTTAGAGAATTAATGCCAAACATGATATGCGCACATTTAACTACAATAATTAACGTTGTGAAGTATAACCATCGTGACGATTGGAGCCAAGGCTTTTCTAACCTGCAGGGGCCGGTTGTTCAAAGGTGGGTTAGCGCTAACCCTTGGTTAAAATTTAACCTGCTGTTTTAGTTTGTGTATTTCTGCACATCTGTTTATTTCAAAACTTCAGAGAAGTAAACTCCTATCGATCCAGACAAGATCTCTGAAGAAATATTTCCAAATTTATAGACAAGCTGTGAGGAAGTTTGCTTTGAATTTTAGGTTAACCTAGGGTTAAGTTAACCCAGCTTTGAATGACCGGCTCCAAGTCGTTTCAGCAGCAGCTAGGGCAGCAAGTGCGTATAACCTCGTGGTGTTCAAAGGAAGGTATATGCATGAAACCATCCTCGCAGAAATTTTATTTTAATCACATTTTAGATACTATCAGGAATTTAAGACGTAAGATATTTTCTAGTACGGGCATTAAGAACGCTAGGCATCTTCATGACTTTGTAATCCTATCAATGTATTTGAGAGTCAATCCAGGCAGGTCGAAAGAAATACGCATGTTGTAATTGCTTTTAAGAATGACAAGACCGTCTCTTTGATCGAAGACAATTATAAGACCGTCAATTCTACTGGTGCCCGCAATTTTGACCTTTCAGAAGATGAAATGTTAGTATATTATTTACATCAATACAATCTAGCCAGGCCTACTCTTTTGCAAGCTGAGTCACATAACTATTTTTTCTTGAATACTTCGGGAGACCCATTTAAGAATAGTTCCAGTTTATGTGTATATCTTGGAAATTTATTTGAACGAGAGGTCTCAGTTAGAGTAAGCACAACCTCACTTAGGCATGCTATAGTTACATACTTTCAGTCGCTTGAAGAGTCGAAAGACGTCCAAATTAGAGTGTCGCTTGCCACATTGATGAAACATAGCACTCGTTACCAGCAACAAGTTTATGATGACACCACACAACAACAGAAAACTAAAAAGGCTAGAGATGTATTGAACAATAAACTTGCCCCAGATATATTTGGCGAAGCAGATATCATAGTGTCAGAAGACAGAGAAAGCGTGCTTGCAGTATCCGATGGCGATGAATTTGAGCTTAGACCAGCTATAGGCGACATTTGCGTGTTGCTCGATGGCGCATCCACAGCTGACGACGTAGCGTTTTTCATAGCTAACGTTGCTAGGTTTTTACTAGCGATGGCTGCGAGCCTCTTTTAGTACATGTAGCGAAGGTCAAAGGTTCTGACACGCTATATAGACTCGCGTCTGGCAAAGTGTGGAAGGAAAGAATTGAAAGTTTATTTTACCCAATCGACATTGCATATAACTACTCTGAACGTGCATATGAACTCCGAACTGGCGCAAAAGATATATGTAACGCGGTTAAGGGAATGTAGATTATTAGAATACATGCAAGATTATTGTGTGTTGCATGTCTACATTAATTGATGGTGCGCATATTGTTAGTTTGGAAATGAATGAAGGAGCCCAGCAACCACGGTTGACAAATAAAAAATTATCAGTTTGCACTCAATCATCTTCAAAACATATAAATTAATTTCAAATGGTATTTAAATGGTAATTTTAAGTTTCAAATGGTAATTTTAAGTATTTCGGTTATTTCCCCTGGACGTTTCAATTAGCAAATTAGAACATTTTGCATGCTGATGCCATGTAAACGAGACTCATTGATCTTGCTTCATGGACAAAATGTCATTGAGAGGTTTTTGTTGTTTCCAAAGAGATAAAGTGCATTCATTTCGCGAACATTGTGATTTACAATCGCCAATCCAATATTAATGAAAATGTGTCAAAAATTAAGTTTGCGGTCTACAGTTTGCGTCGAGCATGGTAAAAAATTAAACAAATATAACTATGTGAAAGCCTTTTTAAATGTAGACGTTTAGTAGATGTATAAATTGTCCTTAGTAACGAAAAAACACTGTACCAGTGCTGTATGTTTTGTTCATACAATTTTGAAATAAAAGTGATATAAGAGCATATGTCTGTAACGGTCGAGAAACTGGGGACAGTTGCGAAAAATCAGACTTGAATTTATTTCACTAAAATAACCCTTCTGGATAGGTATTTCAGAAAACATGATCGAAAAGTCGCAGCGCGATTTCATTTTTATAAAATTTCAATAGTTTAATAAATCGGTTAAAATTTTGTTTTTTTCCCAATTAATATGCACGAATTGAGAGCCAACTTAAACAATAGAAAGACGACATGGAAAACAATCAATCCAAACCATCCTTAGCATGAAGCTAACTTAATATTGTATCTTCAATTTGTACTAATACATTTTAATCAACTGTTTCTTCGACACATATCTGTAGCCCCATAAAAACCCTCATTATTTTGTGGTCAATCGACAGTCAAATTTTTAACGAAATTTGGACTCAAATAACTCTGCTGGTACCTTACAAATCGAAAACAGAGCTACATCACATTAAAAGATATCTCTTCTCGTGTCCCTGAACCGAAATTCAGCTTCTACAAATAAAACGCCAATCGAGGAGCGAAGTTTAATGGGAGGTGGTCAAGCATGAAATGTTATACTAATTAATTTCAAGCGCTGACATCAATATGCAAATTGCACGAGCATGAAAACCTTGTCACGATAATATTTCGTCACAAAACGTGTTGGTGAAACAAAATAAAATGTTTTTCTAGGTTTAAAAAGTTACTATATAAATCGCTACTCACTATAAATCATGAAAAATGACAATAAACAAGCTAGAAGGAAAGGACACAACCGGTCCAGAACAATTTACATTCAAAGAAACTGTATTAACGACGTGTGTATACGTTCTACTGAGATTATAAGTTGCCAACACAGTTTCCCGCTCCAAAACGAAACTATTAATTGTTGTCTTGATATGCGAGACTTTATATGTTTTACTAAGTGTTGAGTAACAAGTAAAAATCTGTAAAAAGATAAGGAAAGCCAATGGCAATGAATTAGTCTTTACTATAGTTGTGTTGCTATATACTGCTCAGAATTTTCCCACGCTAGTAAACAGTGTCAGTACGGTACCGTAATTTGCTTAGTTGACAAATGTCATTTACAATATTGTATCGATCGGTATCGATCTGGCCCACTCTTCAAATATATATATACCTTTCACCAGATTAATTGACGTGTTCTTAAATCTAAAACGGATTAGACGCAATGTATTTCTAAATGCAACACAACTCAAACAATAACAAACATTACAATCACAATAACAATCAAAGTTAATAATTAAACTTAGCTAGTCTTAAATAAATTTCAAAACTCTGTGCCTTTCAGTAAGAGTTGATATTCCTTGTTAGTTTCTTTTACTGCATGGACGATGGCGTTTATTTGCGGCTTTTCAGAGCTAGTTGGCGATAGCTCTTGTGGAGTCAGTTCAGAATACCCTGAACAGTTAAAATGTATTCTATTGACTGAATGTCAAAAAGATATTTCCAGGCATCTACAGATATATGGTATTTCTGAAGACCAGTCTCTTTGTAGTGAAATGGCGTTGATTCTTGCTCGTGCAGGTAGCATAACTCATATTTCTAACAATATCTTTGCTATCATATATATATATTTAGTGAAGAACTTTTTAATTTCATCAGGTATATTTGTAGTTGATGAATCGCACAATTGTATTACTATATGCCCTAAACACCGAAGCGAATACAGGATTCGATGGCGATGCCGTAGAGCGCGATGCTCGGTACCTGAATCCCTGGCTGCACACAAAAATTCAAATGTTAAAGCCAATAAAAGAATACTGTGCCTGCAATCATCACTGATTTTGAAAAAGACAGGATTGATCGTAGCCGTTGGCTCACGTAAGTATCATTTTTGTACATTTCCTAGAATTAATGCTTCGATTCAACGCACGTTGGTTGCATGCTCTCCTCTGTAAAATTAAACTGCATGTACAGTATGCATTTCCCGATCGAATAAGAAACCTGTTTACTCTGAATAATTGCGGAAAATATAATTTAAAGTACACAAAATTAATAATTTGTTTCCTGTCTGCAAGAACTAAATAACAAAGCGCAGTGCAAAGTCAAAGAACAAAGGAAACAATTGTGATAGGGCTTGTGCGTATATTTGAATTATAATATTAATTTTGAAACAAATGATAGCGATATTACATTTATTAAACGACGTTTCGATGCTACAGCGTGCATCATTTTCAAGTTATAGTAATTACATATATTGCGTTGATTTTAATTAAACCGTTCAATTATAATATTGATCTATTTAAGTAATTATAGTTTTTTCGTTGTATAGCAATATGCATAACATGTGCTGCCTATCTGAAAAGCATTCGAGACAACGAAGCTGAAAATGTCGATGAATCTGAGCCAGGTCTTATTGAGGTAAATAACTTACGATTGACTGGCTGATCCCTGCCTTTCCCAACAGCCACTTCGCGCGTCGCCTTCCTGCCTGAATAGTTCATGTATTATATTTCAACATTCTGGCCCTGGGTATGAGGCAGGGCACTATAAGGCCCTTTGGGATCCCGAACTGCACGCAGGATACAAAGTTAATAGTTTTTATTCGTTTAGTAGTGAAGAAGCGCTAATATGTCATCACAACAAATCATTCGAAAAGTTGAACGACTTTTTATTAGTTTCTAATATTCCTCCCATTCAAAGACGATGGATGAGCTGGGATGAAATAAGTGAGAAAACAAGGCAACGATATACAAGGAGAGGTGCTGAAATTCTAGCTGCTGTTCTTCAAACCATATCTCCTGAAAATGCTGGATCGATTTGGCAGGCTGTATCGTCATCTTCTACAATCAATAGGCTTTTTGGTATAAGTGAAGTTACAATGGCTGACCAACGTTATTTAAATGTTTTAGCTGAATCATATAAGAATGCGTCGAGCTGGGAAACCCGCAAGCAAATCCTATCTATAATGACTGATTTAGCAAGCTATTCTGTAATCTCATCCTTCATTCCAGGTATCACTAAATACAGATACACGGCAGCAAATTTACATCGTTTGCAGTTCGGTCACGGTGTTCCAGTTCCTGCCCAAACATCCGTTCGTGTCAGAGTAGATTTAAAACAGCTTGACCACTTCCTATCATTTATAACTAGCCCACATTTGGTTCAAGATCTTCCTTTTGGTCAAAAGCACCTCACGCTTTCATCTGGCAAAATCTTAGAAGTACCTAATGTGATACGTACAATGATACCACGACGGATTGTAGAACAGTACAGTAGATGTTGCGAAGAAACTAATTTTCAACCATTTAGCGAAAGTACAATGGTTCGCGTATTATCAGAATGCAGTGCGTCTGTCAGAAAATCACTTCAAGGTCTTGATTATTTCGCTGCAGATGGATCACGGGCCTTTGACGAGCTATTGGCACTAATTCCCAAGCTTGTTGAATATGGTGCTACAGATAGGGAATGGGAAGTGAAAACAGCAGAAAATCTAAAGACAGCCAGACTTTACTTGAAAGGAGATTTTAAGGTACACTAGACAAAAATTATTACTTACATTCGTCATAAGGGACTGCTCAAAAAGTACAGGAGATTGGGTCTTAGGCATTCCCCTAATTTGAAACTGAAAACGTCCCATAATATAGCATTCACATTCCCCCACCGAAAATTTTGTTTCCCGGCTCTCTTTAAAAGGAAAAAAATAGGGAGTTGCCCATCCTATTTGTGGCCAACAAGGGGTGGGCCAGGAAACGAAATGCACCATGCCAAAGAGGGTTTGCCAGCCACCTATTGCACTTTATATAGACCAATATTTTTTTTTTAATCATTTTCCTACCAGGTGCATCTTGACAATGCTGATGAAGTAGCAGATCACTGTTTAGTCCTTTCCCTTAGTGACAGTGGAGATACTGACTTCCAGGAAAAATGTAATCACAAACACGATGCCGTTTGTGAGCAGTGCCTAGCTCTTGAAGAAACTTTGAAAGACGTCGAAGGATGCTTCAAAGCGGCAGAGTTTCCATCCGTTGATGAGAGATGACGTGCACTACACTGTACGATCAGCCGTGCTTGCCATCAATTCATGGAAATGCCACATACTCATGTCTTCGAAACAGGATCAAGCACGACTCGATGTTCTTAAGCTTCTCGATGAGAAGATGGTATTCATTGTCAATGATTGGGCAATGAACTTTTGCCCCAGAGATATCGAGAATCCCAGCAAGACTGGTTTGGAAAGCGTGGCATTTTGTGGCATATATCTGTTGTATACAGACGTAATTGTGGCAAACTACAGTGGCAGTGTTTCGTACACATCATCCAATCATGTAGCCAAGACAGTCCAGCAGTGGTTACCGTAATGGAGGATGTACTTAGAGCCCTGAAGCAAGAATATCCCGAAATCACAACAGCCTACTTTCGACAGGACAACGCAGGTTGTTATCACTCGGCGACAACAATCCTGCCCCAACACAAAGGAGCAGCAGATCGTTTAGCAGCAACATGTAAAAACCATATTCGTGCTTATATAAATGAAGGCAATGATGTACTTACGGCAGAACAACTCAAGGAGGCCATTCTCTCACATGGAGGTATACATGGCGTGTGCATAAAACACACGTGAGTGTACCGAGAAAATTCCAGGCATCAGTAAGATGAACAACTACAAATTCATGTCAACCGATAAAATCAAAGTCTGGCGTGCCTATAAAGTGGGTAAAGGAAAGATCATCAAAACTGCAAAACCGTCATTCGGTCAGTTAACTAATTCATCAATTAATTGATTAATTATTTCATTCATTCATTCGTGCGTTCAATCATCGATTCATTCATTCATTTTGTTTTAGATTCTAATTACAACTGGTTGGAGTCAAACTTTTCATCTGGTGGATTCAAAACCATTTCTCAAGAACAAGGCAAGACCCAGCATGAAAAAGATCATACTGCAGAGAAACGCACTGACGGGAGTAGCCAGAATAATATTCAAGCGGTCTACCCTTGTCCTCATGATGGATGTGTACGTATGTTTCAGAGACTTGGTAATCTGGAAAACCACCTATTGACTGATAAATGTACGCAGACTCTGGAGAAACACACACTTTTAGATCTGGCAAAAATGGGCTACAAAAGTTCGTTGGAGGATGGTGCTGGTGTAATACCAACTTTACAAGCAAGTAAAGCAGGCCACGAAGGTAGGAATGCTAGCCCCCTTGCTGAGGGCTGGGCTCTTCGAGCATTGAAGAAGACATACCGTTTCAGCAAGAAGCAAAAGGATTACCTTCTGGCCAAATTCGAAATAGGTGAGTCAACTGGTAGAAAGGTCGATGCTAATACTGTAGCCCAAGATATGAGACGTGTTCGCGATTCTGATTACGAAAGACTTTTTCAAGCGTCAGAGTTTTTAAGTTCCCAACAGATTACCTCTTATTTTTCCCGACTCGCAGCGAAGCGTCGAAAAGCGGCATCGACTGAATCCGACTTAATGGCTATTGAAGAAGAAATTGGCTTCACGAGGGCAAGAAACAGTGCAATGGAATCTATCGGCCTTGAGCACCCCATTGTCTATGGCCAATACAATGTTTGTGCCATGATAGAAAAGAACACTTTAAAAAACCTGAAACTTGGAATGTTACGAGTCATGAGCGAGAAACTTTGTCTTCAAGTTCCAAAAAAAGCAGCAAGAGCGAAAGCGCCATATTTGAAACTACTGAACGACGCATTCAAAAGCTGCAGCTGTCAGCCGTAAGGAAAGTTGCTAGATTTAGCTTACAAAAACTCATTTGGTGTTAGTACCTAACTAGTACTAAACGATACTAAAGTCCCGATCAAACGAGGATGAGAGTGCATGAGAGTTGCCAGTCATGCCTCTCTTCCCAAAACCTTCATGAATTCTATTGAAGTTGAAACATTGCCGATCGGAACAGTCATCAAATTTTAATTTTATTAATATAGAGTTTAAAATGTCCTCCGCAACAATGCGTAACTGAACAACTCTCAGTAACTGTCATACTCGCTTTATCTAGGCTTAAATAGCGCATATTGGTGCTTACATGAGTTTACGGGGCTGTGTTTTATATCTCTCCACTCTTAAGAGCGTTTTCGATGTATAGACCTCAAACGTAAAGCCAAATTGCATTGAAATACATGCATTTCTTAGCAAAAGTTCATTAATGTAGATACAGCAAGGCTTTTTTTGTGCACCAATAAGTTATTTTAATAAGTTATTTTGAGCTTAAAAGCTTCCAACCCTGAATGATCCAACATCCAGGACACTACGGCAATTGATCAAATGCATTGGAGAAATGGCAGAAAATTTAACACTGCAGTGTGGACAGTAGAATTTCTTGTCCTCCCCTTTTCTGTCCCATATTCGATTGACGATTTGAAATTATTCCATTATTCAATTTAAAGAGTTAAAGAGTTTTTGTAAAATGTCTGTTCACACGTTCACAAATCAGTTTTGTGACGAAATACATAAAACTACAAATTTCTTCATGCTCTTATAATTTGCATATTAATGTAGGCGCTAGATGGTAATTAGCAACATTTCGTGCTTCACCACCTCCGAATAAACTTCGCTCCTCGATTGGCGTTTTACTTGTAGAAGCTGAATTTCGGTTTAGGGATACGAGAAGAGATGTCCTTTAATGTGATGTAGCTCCCCTTTCGATTTGTTAGGTACCAGCAAAGTTATTTCAGTCCAAATTTGGTTAAAAATTTGACAGTCGATTGACCATAAAATAATGAGGGTTTTTATGGGGCTAAAAATATGTGTCAAGGAAACAGTTGATACGAATGCATTAGTACAAATTAAAGATACAATATTAAGTTAGTTTGATGCAAAAGATGGTTTGGATTGGTTGTTTTCCATGACGTGTTTCGACTAGTTCATTCGGGTCTCAATTCGTGCATATTAATTGGGAATATATAACATTTTAACCAATTTATTAAACTATCGAAAATTTCATAAAAATAAAATCGTGCTGCGACTTTTTGATCATGTTTTCTGAAATACCTATCCACAAGGGTTCTTTTGGTGAAATAAAATCAAGTCTGATTTTTCGCAACTGTCCCGAGTTTCTCGACTGTTACAGACATATGCTCATAAAAAGTCCACTCAGTTCTCTGTTGGTTAAATGGGGGATTAATGTAATTGTCTTGCTTTGTGAAAAACACTTGAAAAAAACTTGCTTTGTGTACTTTTAGCATTTTGCGCAACTTGCGATCTCAATCCAAGATCATATCAGTGCAATGCGCCTGGCATGTAGATGCCGTTAACGGGAACAATGCGCCAAGTCAATTTATACTGTTAACATCCCTTTCCGGGTATACTCGCGGGCATTTAAATTTTTAGATATTTTCCTATCAAATTCGCTACCACCGGGCCAAAAATACAAATAAGAATGTCGTACACCTTTAGCTAAGTTAGTAATTTAGTTAGTAAACGTCTGCCATTCTGCACCCGTTCGCAGGTTAGGGTTAGAAAATTTTGAAAAACTTAGAGGAAAGTATATTTTGAGAGTGGAAGCACTGACTGTCTGAAAGCATGTGTGGTTTGATCATTTGCTTGGTATTATAAAATCGTCCTATTTTAACACATCCAGAATGTTGCTTTTCAATTATTATAAATCAGAAACGAACATGGACATCTACATGATGAAAAATCAGGGGAAAGATAAATTATTACATGATCAATAAGACACAAAATTGAGAAAGGGGAAAGATAAATTATTACATATCGGCTTCTAGAAAAGATCCATACTCCCCCCACAGAGGAAATATATGCCGTCCAGAGAGGTTGGCGAGAAAAAATTGTTTATTAATAGTAAATGTATAAGGACATCCGAAGGGGGTAGGGGGTTAACGTTCTATTTCCTCTGTGGGGGTGGCATGGATGTTTTCTGGAAGGACTCATTTAAAGCATTAAATGATATCACATATCATCTGACTGTAATAACATGTTTAATTGAATAATTTGAAATATTGTTTCCTGACAATTTGCAAGAAACAGAAAATTTTGCAAGAAACGGCACAAGATCTGCCAGATGCTCCTCAATTTTGGTTGCCTCAAGCCCATAACTCCCTGCGCTTGTTCGTCATGATGCACTACTTCATGTAAACCTTTTATATAGTGACTCACATGAAATTTTTTATTAGCGCCTGGGGACAAGGCAGTTACAATAGGAAATTATGATTACTTTCGTTCCAATTCTGACTCATTTTTGAAATGTTAACTTTCATGTTAATTGTTGAAACGTAATACATTGACCAAACTCTGGATAAAATTCTTGTGGCATTTTATGAATGTTCACTAATACAGATGGAATTCAACTACCTGAAAAATACAAGTAAAACTTTGATGTTGTGAGTGAAACCAGGATTCATAGTTAATTGTGTAAGCGTTCTCTGGTTAAAAATTTCTAACCAGCAAACATTTACACAATTAATCGATTAATCATATTGAACAAATAATAAGACATTGCAACTATTTGTCCCTTTGAATTAAGGGCTGCTTTTTTACTATATTTTTACTGTAAACAAAATTCCATTATGCAATAAGAACTTATGAATATGTTAATATGAGTATATTATACCTATGAATATACAATGAGAATATCTGTGATTGTTAACCAATCACATTGCTAAGTCATCATTCTAGCTGTTCATAGCCATTGAAATTGTCCGACTTGCTGGAAACACAGTCCGAGCCGCAATAGAAACCTTTTACTTAAAATGTTTGTAACGTGTTTATTAAAATTTAGAGAAAAGTTTGTCAAAAAATGTCAACAGCTATTTGTTATAGCAATTTAGGACTGTTCGGCATTAAATCAATTTCGGCATATCGATACCAGATGTTCAACCGTATTTTTCGTTGTAACCGGAATTTTTCGGTATACCATGTTAAATTTTCCAACTATATGGCAAAACCATAACCTTTATTTTACTACTGAATGACAATTCAAAGAACTTTCTACTGCAATGATTTAGAATTTCCACTTCAGTGGGATTTTACACTGAGTATGTGTCGTTGAAAACATGTTCAAAACAGGTTCGAAATTTTCGTTTTATCGTTTTCCCTTTTACAATTACTCAAAATTTCTTTCAAATTTTCAATAAAGAATTTTTCTTAATAATTATCAAAGAAAAACCGGTATACCGATACTGTCGGTATAATTTTTTCAGTATGCTGATACTGGAAATTTCTCATACTGAACATTCCTACAGCAATTTTTCTAAATTAGGAATCCAACTTTGTCTCTGTCCCTGGGACCAATTGCACTCGCTAGCCATTGCCTTGAACATAGATGTAAAGTCAAGATCTGAATAGCGATCAACGATAAGAGGGATCCAATATTCTCGCAAGGCACCGTAGTTAACAAATACGTCCGTTGCTTCCTTGGATGCCTCAAGCTGCTGTTTGGCTTTGACTGGCATTGCAACTCTCCTCCAATTCATCTTCAACTGTTTTCCAGTCTTCTTCGTTTAACAGGGATCTATCAGTGGCTGATAACTTTGTAATTTTCCCAAGGCTTTGAGCACATGGGATTGGTTGGCAAAGCGACCCAAGTTGTTTCCCGTTTCCACTTCGGCATCAAACCGCAGTTTCTTTCTGGAAACATATATGGCGTACGCTTGCGAGCTTTTGCTAGCAACAATTTCCTGTAATGTTGTGCTCTTCTCAGCGTACATGCAGAGATGCACTCCCGCAGGTATCAGTTCACTATGCGGCGTTAGAAAGAGGCCGCGGCCAGCAAGGGGGATCTGGCTGGTTGCCACATAGCACCTGGATTCCCAAAACAATTTGCACCACACAGAACAAGAAGCTGTCTGAATCCTCACTGTTGGGCAAATTATTGTTGTCGTCGTCGATAGCCAATTCTTCATTTTGTCCCCGATTCCACGCTGCGGGATTTGCTGGACGATTCAGAATCGGTCGCAATTCTCCATATCTGTGTTCTCAATTGATGTCATCCTTCCAGAGTTTCTGAAGAAGAAGGATAGGTGAACACTTCTGGTAAATTAAAGATTCTTTGTAATGGCTTTGTGCATTGCCGAATCTATGTTGTTATCAACGCTGGCAGTGTAATAGGAAATGGTAAACCCCAGCCAAGCGAGCTTTTCTGCAAAGTTCTCCATCATGCCATGGTCGTCACGCACAGAGATGTTGACCAATCTTCTGCCATGTAGGTCTAATGGTGCAGACAATCGCCCACGAGAATCCTTTTCGACTTGTAACAAAATATCACTGGCTTAGAATAGAATCTTCCTTGCAACCCGGAGCGCCTCGATCCCGATATGCCTCATCAAGAAGGTGGTCAGCAAGGTTCCAAATGAGGCCAGTTGTGCCTGGGAACCCAATCTCATAAATTTTCCAATTTTAGGGAAAAAAATGGTAAAAATTGAAAAACTAGGCAACCAGAAAGCGTAAACTAGAACACCCTGATATAGGTCACAAAATCGGTTGTCAGTTTGTGTTGTGTACGTGTACTCTACATTATCGTGTTTAATTTTGAAATATTCTGCTATTTTAATACCGTATGTAAAGCTGTTTCCGTGTTATATTAATAATCTCTGTTTTAGGAATGTTTTTATTCTGTCAATATGTCTAGATTCAGATTAAAACAACGTCATTACGCGCGATTGGTATTTTGGAGTCTGGGAACGTCCTAGTTTTTTACAACAGCCTAGTTTTTTTTCCAAATAAGGTAATTCTAGGACGTTCTCAGACCCCTGCGCACAAAAAACTAGGACGTTCCCTGTCTTCTTCACCTTCTCACGCCCAGAAAACTAGGCAGTTTGATTTATATAATTACAATGTGTGATATCAAATTACATTTGTGCAAATGTGTCGCAATAACATTGGTGTAAACAGAACAAGAAAAGCAAGAAATACATTATATTCCTTGTATTCAGTACAGCTACCAATATTACAATGTACTGAATATTGGTTATTACGCTTATCACTCATTTATTGAGGCAATGATTATTTACGCAAATAACGCAATGACGAATTGTGATTCATGTTTGGCATACATTAATACATTGTAATTTTTAAGAGATAGTCATCAACTAAATTGGATTCTTCGGTGTTGTTTTTAAAGCTGTTGTTTCTAATAATGTGGGCATAGGCATGATCTTGTTTTTTTAGTTTGAGTACTAAAACTACTAAACTAGAGTTTAAAATAAACCAACGTTTATGTATAGACTCTATACATGAATTGTAAAAGTATATCACACTCATCTCAAAGCTGCACTTGACCTTTAAAACAGTAACTTTATAACGTCACAGTATTTATGGTCACTGACTTTTCCCGATGTTTTGCTAACATGCAAATTGTCTAGTATTGATTTTCAAACGAACTTGGAACGGCAATTTTATAAAGACATTACCAGTACCAGAAATGCTAAAATTATGTGTAATGTAATTGTATTGCAATTGTCACTAATTATGTTTTTATAGTGCAGTCATCCCAATTTCCATCAGTACTGGTATATCAAAACCTGTAAAATGGACTATACTTTACAGCCATATATTACTAAATACACATCAAAACATGTATCATTAATTCATTTGCGCTAACCTTATAAGCCTCTCGCAAAAAAACTTTTAGGGGGGGGGGGTACTTGAAAACTTGAAAATTGGGCTATTATTTTTTTAATACTGAACCCCAGGCACAAGCAAAATGCCATTTGGAACCCTGTGGTCAGGATTGCTGTTTCTTCCTGTTGTTTGTAGATTCTCATGGAAAAATCAGTTTCTTGTGCGTCACAATGTTGGAGACGGAATCAAATCTTGTTGCGGTCCGTTGCTAAGTCGTGCAGTCCGCCTTCGCTTTCTTGATTAAGTGTGATTTCTCCCGAATCGCCGTCAAATACAACGAGCGCACTTTTCGATATGGATAGCAAAGGATTATCTCTATGGCTGACACTGGGCATTTTCCACGATCTCGGCACCGGGTCTTGCAGCTTTCTCTCCTGCAAGAATGGCTCCATATATGCGATTGTTGTTGTAATCACATCTGTAGGCGTGGACAGGGATAGAGCTGGTGGGCTTCACAACGGCGTTGAATTGGCGAAATAGAGGAACTTCAACAAACTTGTGGCGCTAAACCCTGAAAATTGTGTTCGCATGCTCTGCGCAATTAACTCCACGTTGTCGCAATGCATTGGTCTATCTTTCCACATAACTGGTTCCATCGTGGGTTGGGCATTTTCACTTTCCAGGTCGTTGTGGTACCTGAATTCGGATTTTTGAAATTGAGTTTTGCATGACCGTTTTATCACAAGCTTTCACACTCTCTATCTGTGGCTTGTTAATTTCATCACAGTAAAATGCACCATGAAATGAATTATCACTAAATTTGAAGCAAAGTTTTTGCCATCGAAAACGATCGAACAAAGCAATAAATCTCTGGAATTCCAGTGATATCTTTATATTGTGTTTCAAGGTGGTTCAATAAAGTCTGTTTTGTAAAATGGAAAATGCACGATTTAGATTTCCATTTCATAAAACAACACCTGTTTTGAACCACCTTAAATGCAACAGGGTTCGTAGCGCTCTTTGAAATCCTTGAAAGTCTTTAAATTTGAATGCAGGACTTTAAGGTCTTTGAAGTGTGTGAAAAAGCGAAGAAAATCTTTAAAAGTCTTTAAATTCTTAGTGATTATTTGATTATACGATTTCCTAGCTACTAAAATAAATTGATTGAAGCAAAATTTTTGCAAATATCGACGAAGTGCATTTTGGGATGTGATTTGACAGGACTAATTACCTGGTGAAAATGATGCTTTATACATCGCAATTTTTCGACACCTGATTGCTCGCAAAGGTCTTTGAAAAGTCTTTGACAATAGGCAGAAAAAATCTTTGAAAGTCTTTGAAATTTTTTGGTCTTGGAGACTACGAACCCTGTGTAAATATGAGGCCAAACACCACGTAAATTCATTGCTGCATTCGTGGAAACACCACGTAAATTCATTGCTGCAAAGCTTTCGATCCGTAAGCCCGGATCTTCATCAGTACTAATAATATGCGGCTTGTTCAGTTCACACACCCTTTTTATATACAAAAGTGTCATTTGAAATTAATTAAACGGCACATCAAACACGTCATTTCAAACGTGGTGAAGTGATTCTAATTAACGCACGCACATCATCCAAGACAAGAGAAATTCATTTCACACATTAAAGAGAGCACGCCATGTACTATCTAGTGGCTTTCCCTCCTGATCTATAGTATTGTGGTTTTCGATTTCAATTGACTCTCTCATTTTGTGCGAGAACTTATCGTGACTATCAATTGCCAAAATATTTTTTTGTATATAAAAAGGGTGTGTGAATTGAACAAGTCAGATATTATTATAATAGCACTGATGAAAATCCCGGCTTACATTCGAAAGCATTGCAGTAATAAATTTACATGGTGTTTCTACAAACAAAACTATATGTTTAATCACCATGCAAATGTACAAAAAACTTAATGTTCTTATGTTTTACTCTAGATTTGCTCCAGGAAAGCTGCGAAAAATGACTGAAGGTGCACACATAATGATCCCAATGAGGTAATCATCATTCATTTCATTGTTGCATTTCAGTGTGATGAACAAGAGGAAATTCGCGAGTGTTTCTTTTTGGCCATTTCAAAATTTTAGTAAATGGTTGGTGACAGTGATTTTGTGAACAGGCCCTTGTGCTCTGTTCAATTTCATGAGTTGTTTACAATAACGTTTCAGGAAAGATATTGAAAGTTATATACAGGTCAATTGACAAAAATTTGTCCTACTGTGATCTCAATAGTTTTTGAACATTTTTATACTGGCGTATATTCCAAAAAGTACATTGCAAACTTCGAATCGCACATGTTAATTACAGTAATACCCTGATATGGCTAGCGACCACAAGTCATCCCTGTTTAGACAGGTATTATTATACACCGCTAAAACTGGTCAACACATCATAATTTGTATGCTTGCGTTCGGCTTTCAAACTTTTAGCTTTGTCACAGGACAAACTGAATCTATGATCAACGTAGAGATATTGACTTTGAGCAAACTTTGTGTACTGTACCTCAACGTGAATATTACAGTCAAAATGGAAATACCTGCAGCACACTTCAGTTAGCGTAGTTTTTATAGGTAATAGTATGGTTTCGAGTGCAATTTGGAAGAAACATGCACAAAGACTATCAAAATATTTGAAGTCTTTGAAAAACTCACGAGTGTATGTTTTTTCTAATACCATTTTAATCAATTGATTCGATTCTAATGGGTTAAAAACCGTGGCGATTAAGCATTTTAAAATCATCACAGGTGTGTCGATTAAACATAAATTTTCAAAATATAAATACTAAAACAACTTGAAAATTGATATACTCTGAGCTTTTATTTTGCAAATGAGCTCTTTAATTATAAGTATGTTTAAATATTAAAGATAACGAAGAAATAAAGATTATTCACAGTTTTTCACTGGTATGAACTGAAAATTAATGTCAGAAATTACTCCCAGAATTGACGACGCACATATGGGCCGTGCTCGCTTCACTGCATCAATATAATGATTGCCCATGTAAAATTGACTATAAAATGATATTAATAGGAAATTACACTTATTCTCAAAGTATTAATGAAAAATCACAATTGTGTTTGGCGAAATATTTATATTATTATAGTATTATAAATATTTCGCCAAACACGCATGCGACTTTTCATTGAACTGTGTAATTTCCTATACAAATTGCATGAGAAACCATATTAATACTTATTAATAATGCACTTGAAAACATTATGCAGTCACTCCTGGATGTGGCTGGATCTTATTGGCTATCCTCGTTATTGTTTCATATTTTAAGCCAATCAGAAGCCTTTTTGGATGTATTTCATTTTTTGGCACTGTATTTCAAACAAATTGCACTGCTCTAGCCAATCACAATCAAGAAATTTTTTCATGTATATTATTAGTGGTATGATACTGCATTTCTGTAGAGGCTGGGAAATTTTTTGTTTGTTAATCAATAAATTCCAGAACAGCTATAAGTTTTATCTTGATGCACGATTTTTGAACAAACACAACAAACTGTGCAAGCGGAAGTGTGCAGGTATTTCTGTTTTGACTGTAATCTGTAGGCCTGGTTGACGAATGGTTCGTTTTTCCCAATGGCATTGACCACTGGATAAAATTGTAAACTGCGTTTTTCGTGTCTTTTTTCGTCAATACGGAATATATATTTGTGCAGAAAACTGCCCTGTAGCGGACAGCAAACTACTCTTCATAATTTCGTACTTCCACTGCCCATGGGGAAAACGAACTTTTTTAATGACGTCACAGCTTTCAAAACCTAACCAAACTAATTGGGTTTTTTTAATATTTTTTCCTCCTATAGGATGGCATGCAATCGACAGAAAAACGGGAGCTTTTTATAGCACACTGAAAATTGGCCCACTTATGCATAATGACGTCACAAGCATTGATACCCGCAAGGAATGCTGATCTTAGCAGTCATTGTGAGGGAAAATTTCGATAGTGGCCATTTTGAATTGTTTAATTTTCCCAGGCGATGACTACTAAGACCAGTGTTCCTCGTGGGCATCAAGCCTTGTGATGTCATTTAGCGTAAGGTCTATTACCCCATGCATTTGATTTAAATGAGACAACCAAAGATTTAGTTGGAAATTTATGTACATTTTTATAAAATATTTATGTGCCATTTTTGTGCCAACGCGAATGACCAGAACGAATGAAAAACCCAATTGTCTCATTTAATCAAATAGCGATCGTTTAAAAGTTACTTTGGCAATGCAACTAAATTCTGAACTCCAGAACAGACTTGCAGGTCTGACACGCACATTTCTCCAGAACTTGAACGTATTTCGCATAGTGCATTTCCTGTAGTTCCTGTTCTCTAGGGCATCGCAACTGGCTGTGAGGGTCATTTTCTCCGGCGGCGTCTTATTCTTTTCATGTATGTGTTCCCGGGCAATCGCCGGGCAATTTCGAAAATTCTGGAAAAAGTCGAAACAATCAATATTTTTAATATTACCTTTGCCTGTTGCAAAAAGAGAAAGGTAGAATTCTTGAAACTTATCGACGAGGCTTTGCATGGCAGCGACATCTTTGTTTGCGTCGAAATTGCACACGTTCTTTCTAATAGATTTGTATATTCTTTCAATGTATGCCTTACAATCGTTCATGGTTCCGTTCATGTTGGCTGGCACTGGCAAATAAACTAGTCACTCAGCGAAAAACATAATAGTTTGCGTCAGCATATTAAAAGGTATTATTAGCGAAAAAATATTGAGTCAGCGATTGTCTTAGTAAGCGAAAAACTGGCTAGATTATCACCGATAAAAAAATTTTATCTTGAACATTAAAGAAAAAAATCATCTTTTTATGAGTAATTTATTTGAGGTTTATTATATAAAATCGTCATGCGTCCTTAATTTATTCGTAATATTGTGTTCTAACTTTGTATTAATTGAGGTTTATTATATTTTATTATATAAACATAAGTGTTATATAGAGTTTTTGGCCACTGAGAAAAATCGTATTTAAACACAAGTAAAAAATACGATATTTTTATGTGTGAAAATATCATTTGTTGTAAAACACATTGCCAGTAATGTCTGTGTGTGGGGAATCATTTTGTGCGCATAGAATATTAATTGCGCACAGAGATTTACTAGATTGTGAGCGCAAACGATAGTTGTTATCCACACTTATGAATGTTTATATTTATTTTTCATCCAGGTGAAACATTTATGATTCGACCAAAGACATAATTGTGCGCAGGGGAACACCGCCTATCTTGGTAAGTTTATTAAAGATGAATTTGTTAAACTGTTCGAATATGGAATTTTTTGCGTAAAGTAATGTCCGTGCATGGGGAATCATTTTGTGCGCGTAGAATATTAATTGCGCACAGAGATTTACTAGATTGTGAGTGCAAACGATAGTTGTTGTCCACACTTATGAATGTTTATATTTATTTTTCATCCCTA